ATCCATTGGCGTCGTGCGCGAAGTTGCTGGGTCGATTGTATGGCGGCATGGTTGTCGTCTGTGACTTCCTTTCTTGTTTTCGTCGTGTGGACGGTTGTGTGGTTCGTACAATTGTACGAACGTTTCATATTGAAAAAACCTTTTTTTTATGCGTCTCTCTCAATTTTTTTTAATTATTTTTTTTATGTGTGTCTTCAAATCGCATGTCTCGAATGATTCAGTGTGGTGGGAAGTTTTTTTCTTTTTCATTTTCTATCTCCTCAATTCCTTTTTCATTTATTTTTTTTTGTCTCTTCAATTCATTTGTCACAAATGTTTTCGTGTGCTTCTCTGGCGGGACGTCAAACATGGGTTTTCAAATTGTTGATGCAAGCTGCTTAACGTTAGTTAACGACGAAACACAAAAACAGAGAGAGATGAACATGGATTGCGTGCATGCATATGAGGCAATCATCTGCAGTCATCTTTAAATCATTCCACAGAAGAGACGAGAACAGTCGACACATCACATAAAAAAAAGAGTGCGCTAAAAGCGCTATGAACTTCTCCTCCAGCGAACTCCGAATATAAAAACAGAATACAGGACGACATTGAATGATTTCGTCGTCGACTCCAACGACCGACACACTGAACACCTGCACTAAACGCAACACACACCATTGAAAACAATCAACCCGTCTTCGTGGCAGAGCTGACGCGCTAAACAAGTGCGCAACCGACGACGATTCGGCGGAATCCCTCTCCCCGACACACTAAAGTGCAACCACAGTGAATCCCATCACGACCAGCCACTTGTACACGCGCCCGCGTCCACACAAGCGCCCGCGTCCACACAGAAGAGACGAGAACAGCCGACACATCTCATAAAAAAAAGAGTGCGCTAAAACCGCTATGAACTTCTCCTGCAGCGAACTGCGAATATAAAAACAGAATACAGGACGATATTGAATGATCTCGTCATCGACTCCAACGACCGACACACTGAACACCTGCACTAAACGCAACACACACCATTGAAAACAATCAACCCGTCTTCGTGGCAGAGCCGACGCGCTAAACAAGTGCGCAACCGACGACGATTCGGCGAAATCCCTCTCGCCGACACACTAAACAAGTGCGCACTTTGCGACGGTGCAACCACAGTGAAGCCCATCACGACCAGCCACTTGTACATGCGCCCGCGTCCACACAAGCAGCCAAACCTCCCCCCCCTACACGTCATTTTTCCCCTCGTTGTTGTTGTCATCATCGGGGGAGGCCGAACCCAACCAATCTAGCTTCTTCGCATCCTCCGGCCCCGTTATGCTCGCGTCGTGCCTGAAACCAATGTCGCAGAGTGCCCATTGAGGGATGTAGTCGGGGTACTGTCCGAGCGTAGCGTTCGCCTTCCCGAACCTCTCTGTGACAACTTTCGCGGCGCGAACAACGGATCGTCGATGATCGAAGGAGCGATGCATGGCCGCGACGAGTGTGGGCTTCCCCACGAGGTTCGTGAAGTAGAAAGCCTTGTAGTGGCTGCGGGGATCGTCTCCCGCCATGCGCATTATCCACATGCACGCCGCCAACAACAGCCTGAAGCAGTCAACCACCCGACAAAGACGATCGTGCGAGATGAACTCGCCGTCGATGAGCGCCCCCATTTGCACCACCGCGCGGAATGCATGCACGACGCAGATGACGGTGGACTCCTGGTGCGCCGCCATGTCGTCGTCGTCCGGTCTGTCCTCGATGTTGGCGCCGGCTAACCACAGTGGCAGGTCCATGGATAGATCTATCGTGCGCGCAAACCGTCGGACTGACAACGTCGCACCACTCCTCGCCGTACCTCATAGCACGCACAATGTCCGTCGCAAAGGATTCCAGCGACTACTGGAAAGCCACATGGTATCCCCTTGGGCGGTTCCCGGACTTGAATACCCAACCGTGCAAGATGCGCAGAGCTACGTTCTCCACTGCCGCCGCACGGAAGATCGCTTGCTGCAGCTGTGACTGGTCGACGATCCTGCCTACGCGCGTGCTGGATTTCGGCAGTACAACGCTCCGAGGGACGGCAGGCGGTGGAAGTCCGCTGGCGATGGCGACGAAGTACTCTCTCGTATCGTGGACGATGTTGTACAGTCTTCGCCTCTCCCCCGTCGTCCAGAAAGCTTTGTCATCGACCCAAAGGACGGCACGATTGATGAGGTCTTGTATCATCACACTCCTACGTACCCGGCTTCAACCGGGCTCGCCGGCCTCCCGATCGCCTTTCTTCTCGCCACGCGCCTCCTCTCTCGTCGTCGCCACAACTGTTGCCTCCTCCTTCGCCGTCGCAACCGCGGCCACAGTGCCTGAACCACCCGCCCCCGCAGCACCTGCCTCCTCGGCCCCAACTGCGCGCGCGTCTGCCATGACTTCCCCCCCGCTGCCGCATTGGACGGACCCTCCATCACCACCCTCGTTGCGCTGACGTCGCTGAGACGGCGTGGCGGACAGCCTACCTGAGACTGGCCTTTCGTTTGCAGCAGCACGTGCCGTCACCGCCGGCGGTGGGGTCGCCGTTGTACGAATGCGAATGCGACGTCTCTCCAAGGGCTCGTCATGATCGCCGCCAAGATCGACGACGGGAGCCTTCTCTGTCCGCGTTTCGCCGCCACACAGCTGCTGCGCCTCGGGTGGAGGGGTCAGCATCCTCTTCGAAGCGGTGTGATGAGAAGAGCGCTGCCGACCGCTCTCGCGTACTTCAGACGTGGTCACCTCTGCCTGCTCTTCCTCCGTCGTGAACTCTTCGTCGTAGTCGCCTTCTGCTGCTGCCGCCCAACCTTGCGCTCCACGACGAGGCACCCTTGCTGACGCATCTTCCGAACGCACCCTCTTCGCTTTCGGGGCCTGCCGCTGACCTCTTCCCTGCCCTTGGCTGTCGTCAGGGACTACGTCGCGCTTCGTCCCACGGGTGTTCCCTCGCGTAGACATGTTTCGTGGCGACCTCTGCAGGCGAGCTTGGCAGTGTGATCGGATGAGCGGGGAGTGTGGCCGGCCTGGCGAGAAATATGTCTCCAGGAAATATGTCTCCCGTGAAATATGTCTCCCGTGCAGCTGTGGCGTGACGACGACGACGTGCACGTGGTAGATAGAAGATCTGTCCTCCGCGGGAGGAAGACGTGACGACGACGGATACCCCCGCGACGCAGAAGATCAATCCTCCGCGGGAAGAAGACGACGACGTGCACGTGGCAGACAGAAGGACGAAGACCCCGGCGAGAGTACTCCGCGGCAAAAAGATTGGCAGCGAGAAGAATAGAAGAGCGACGATCACAGCGATCCGCGGCGAGATGATTGACGGGCGACATCGGCGTGGTGGACAAAAGGATGCGCGCATTCCGAAGATTGTCCACGAGACGAGATGGCTAGAATGGCATTGGCGGTGGTCGTCCAAGGAACTGAAGATGTCCGCGCGGAGCGAGCGACATTTATCCGTGGCGAGCAGGCTTGTACCACTTCCACGTCGTTGCGGGCGGTTTGCAGCAGACGCGGGGGCTTCTGTACTGGAGACACCTTCGTGCGGACGACATACAGGCGGGTTGGGATGCGCAGGACTTGAGTAGTCTCTCGCAGATGGACATCCCGCAACGTCGCTTCTCTATGGCGGGAAACGACATCGTCGACGGTGGCACGTGCGACCGCCCTGCCCACATTAGCGTGTCATTTCGATCCTCCCCAAGGCGCAAAAAAACCCTTCGACGTCCCTGGCGACGCGCGTCAATTCACTCGCCGGGGACCGAACCCCTGGCCACCCTATCGCGTCTCCCCCTCGCAGCCACCAAACACCCCCCCCCCCCCCCCCCC